AAAGGCCTTTAATGCCAAGGTAAGTGCTATAGTAAATAGAGAACTAGATGTGGAATCAGGAAGACTTAGGTTCAAACCTAAGACACTTACTAGCTTTGTGTAACCTTGAGCAAGTCACTTAACCATTGCCTGCCTCAGTTTCCTCAACTATAAAATGGGGATAATAATAGTACCTACCTCCTTGGATTGTTGTGAGGATGAAATACGATCATATTTTTAATGTGCTTAGCACAGTGTCTTTTAAGCACATAGTAGGTGCTTAATAAATGCTTATTTCCTTCCCTTCCAAGGCCTCACTGACCAAATATGGTACCCAGAAAATCTTGATTCCTAGCTATATAAGCAATCCCAGGAGAACAGAATCTGGGGGTGGGGGGGAGTGGTTTGGCTTTTGTCATTGTATCCCCAGCACCTAGCCCTCTGGCTAGCACATAGTAGACATTTTAAAATGTTTGTTGGATTGAATTGAATTGAGTATCAACCAAGCAGAGGGGCCAAGCCTCAGGCCCACAGAAGGAGGTCATGTCTCTGCTCTCTGAATCATGATGCCTGCCTTGTTTTCTTTTTTTAAAAACCCATCTATTATTGCCTAGCAGCATGGGTTTCCTTCGGTCTCACTGCTGACTCTAGCTTTATGCTCCAACTTTAATGTTATAAACTTGGCAGAGGGGAGGGGAAAGTAGAAAGTGAAGGAGAGAGAAGGAAGAGGAAGGGGTGGGGAGGCTATGGGATCGGAGGTGGTATTTCACTCCTTATTAATAGCTAATGTCTGCATGGCTCTGAATGGACTAAGCAGTGCTCATCAGAGCCTATAGGGCAATTACCCTAATCATGTGGATCTCCTAAACAGCCGCTTGATTTATTAGCCAGACGTCTTTTTAAAATGCCGCTCTTAAATATAAATAACACTTAATCATCCAGCTGTCGTTAAGTTCATGTTATATTGATTTCTTGGAGTGCCACAAATTTGAGGGCCAATGGGCAGGCAGATGCGTGCAAAAAGCCAGGAGGCAGATGAGTCAAAGGTGGGAGTTGAGCAGGTGCTCATGTAGAAGAGGAAGGGGGAAGTCTCTTATGATGGCCTTGGAGTCTGGTGCAGTTTTACTTCAGAGGGTATTCTGGACAACGGTACACTGTTGGTACATTTGTCTCCCTGTGCAGACATAGCCTATGTTTATAAAATAGAGTTTTTCCTATATCATCATAACCATCACCACCATCCTCCTTCTCCTCACATCTTGAACTTTTTAAAGCTGCCACATACATTATTTCATTTAACCCTTATATCAACTCTATGAGATTGACAGATCTGGCATCATTATCCCCATCTGACAGATGGAGAAACTGAGGCCCAGGAAGAAAAAAAAAGATTTGCCCTACTTCACATGACCAATAAGTGGCAGAGCTGGGATTCAAACCCATTATTCTTTTTTACTACATTAAAAAACCATTAGATTGCAAGCTCCTTGAGGGCAGGGATTGTCTTTTGCTCGTTTTGTATCCTTAGCACTTAGCAGTGCCTGGCACACAGGAGACACTTAATAAATGTTTGTTGATTGACTGACACAACCCTATCAAGAAGTCCCTTATGATATCTCTGATCCATCGCCACTTATATGCCTTATTTAAATGACCATGGGGAGAATGTGCCTAAGATAAGCATTTTCTAAAACCTCTCTCTTTCCCAGTCACACAGTGGTTATAACTACAAATCCAGGTTACTTAAATTACTACCCTCACCCCAATCAGCTCACTGACCTCCCCAAAGACTTCAGTTCCCAAAAGGTCCTGACTCTAGTCCCAAATGACACTCATTGTGGTTAAAATAATAGGAGAGACAGAGTGTAGGCAATCCATGGGCTCTGCTATTCAGATTTCGAAGTCTGCAGAGAGGAGCAGCAATGAACGGGAGGAGGGGGAGATGGAGAGAAGAAAAAAGGAAATAAGTTAACTGTCTCCTAGTCTTCCAAAAAATATTTGCCAAACATCAGTGTGCATCTGAGATAAAGTCCTCTGAAAGTGGAAAAAAGCCTCCAAGAAGGAGGGTGTGGATATTCTGTCTGGAAGCCCAAGGGCAGCTAGCTTTCCAGCACCAATCCAAGAAAGCTTGTAGCACATAAAGCATCCTAGATTTGCCATACATAATCAATTCCTTCATGGCTGAGATTTCTTTTCCAACACAGTTACCTGCAAAATGATTAAGACCCCTGAGAAATTAAAAAGAAAGAAACAAGGGTAGATGAGGAGATGTGACATGGTCCAAGGCTGGGCAGGAGAACCAGGAAAATGAGGTCCACTACACATAGGTTTTGCACAGATGCTAATCAATGCTTGATTTATACTAGAAAGCAATTTTATGTCTATTGCTTAGCGGAAAAATGTAGGGATTTTTGAACCTAGAAGCTTAGCATAACCACTCCTTGCTTTGAATGAAAATGACATCGAAAGCAATCTAAATTCTTCTTTTGTGCAAACACATGAAGGCAGAAGAGATTGGGGTGAGGGAGAGATATTGAAGGAAAACAGGGCTGTGGGGAAGCTAAGAATGGAGCAGGAATCCAGGGGAAAGAGCTACAAACATTTGAGAGACCTGTCCCTAAAACCTTTATCTCAAACGAGGTCTTATGAAGGAATATTTATTTACCTAGGAGGCATCCCACTGTTGCCATAGTACAATATTTCTATAAAAATCCATGTGCTGCTGAATGTTTGGATCAGTTGTCCCTAGCTACATAATTTGAGGGCATAAATTCAGGTTCCTGTTGCAGCACAGAAAAGAGACTTGTTTCGGGCACTATTGTCAGGTTGTACCAGCGGACGTATACAGCCAGGCTCCGGGGGTATGTGTCAACGAGGAAGTGGGAGGGGTTGGATGTGTGCAGATTCACACCATTCTGAAAAGGGAAATCATCTTTCCCCTCACTGGGCTTTTTCCACTGTGGCGGTTCTTCTTTATTTCCTTCCCCCCTTTTCAATCAATCAAAGAGCAGCTCTCATAGCACACCAGAATACAGTCCTCCTCCCAGGGCACCAGCTCTGCCTCTGCCTGTCCTAACCAGAGACCTAGAAGCTGAAAGAGTTTGGAGATGCCAGAAAAGGAGACTATCTGAGAAGATCACCATCTCCATGCCTTTCTTCAAGAATCTGCAGAAACTACCCCCTGGAAACTCCACCCAACCTTGACCTGGTGGGGGGTCCTCTTTTTTATCTTTTGATTTTTTTTATTTGCTTGGACACATACATCAGACTTTCCACCCCTAGTTCAGAAAGCTTCTCTTCCCCCGCCACTCCTCCCCCAAATAAAAAGCAGGATCTTATAACAGAGGGTACACAAGTACTCTCTTTATTACCAGATTTCAACGTGCATTAACTTAATAAGAGATAGATTCAGGTCTGAGTCTATATCTACAGGTAGACTTGTACCTATATTGATAGATATCTGCACGATGTTGTCAGGCAATCCAGGTTGAATCATTTTGGTTCTAGATCGCTCAGCCTTCCTGTTCAAACTTTAGATTCCCAGTCTGAGTTGCTCTTTGAATGGAGAGCTGGTGAGGCTGGGAAGACCCTTCTAGAGCATCCAGTCTGGGAAAAGTTTAGAAAATGAGAAGCATCTGGCTGACCAACCAAGGAGGCTAGGAAAAGCTTTTGGAAGAATGAGGCAGCCACCCTAAAGGCTTGCAGGGACTGTGGTGCCTCTTATAGATCGTCAAACAGTAAGATCAGCTAGTCTGTGGGAGATTGTATCTAAACCAAGAAAGCCTCTTACTTAAAAGACAGTTACCATCTGGATGGTGGTGAGATGAAAGTATCTCCCCCACTCCATCCCCATGCCACCTCCCCCAAGGAATATCCCCTCCCATTCTTCTTCCTCAACTACACACCTCTAAAGGAATGTGATAGGTTCAGACGGTGGGTTGAGGAAGAAAGATAGCAGGGTGAAACCTATTAGTCCCATACTATACATTAAAAAGGGAAGGCAAAAGAGAGAACCCAATCAGGTGTCCCTTATTCAGTTTTCTCCAGTCCTGTCTGAGCTTCACCCAGTGACTATGGCTGTGAGTTGGTGAATCCCAGAGGGTCCATACTGTCCCTGAACAAGCCAATGTAACAGTCCCTCGAGGAAAGCATTCCTTAAGCCCCCCCAAAGCTTGAACTCCGTTTCATTTCCAGAGAGGCAACGCTATGCTTTGGCTCAGAGTGGCACCCGCACTGCCTTTTACTGGGGAAAACACGTTCTGGCTTCCAGAGCATACCCATTTATTTCCCCAAAATTGCAATAATAATTAAAATCCCAGAGTGCTCCAAAGGGCTGCCGAGCAGCGTTTGCACAGGGCGGATCTCAGAAGATCTCCGATCAGGTTTCAGCCCTCTCCCCCACCCCTTCCCCCGTCCTCTCCCACTTAAAAAAAAAAAAAAAAAAAAAAAAAAAAAAGCAGGTACTCGAAAAAGCTGGGAACTCAGAAATACTCCCTCAGCTGCTACGGGAAGGAAGGAAATGTTGTTTTCTTTAAAGATTGGGTTTTTTTTTTTTTTTTAAGGAAGGGGGGGGAAAAAGAAACACCATTAAAGTCGTGCCGTGGAGAAGTCGAAACGTAGGGAGAGTCAGAAGAGAGAAAGAAGAGGAAAAATACCTATTCTCGTAGCTCTGCACCTAAGCAGGTCTCCAGGTGGAAAGTGTATGAGTGTGTGTGTGTGTGCGTGTGTGTGTGTGTGTGTGTGTGTGCATGTGTGTGAGCGTGTGTTTGGTGGTGCGCATGATTGGTTGGATCCGGGCTGGTTTGAGGGGTATGTGGGGGAATCACCAGGACCTAGGGACGTTTCCGCCCAGACACCTCCCTTCACCCACTTCCTCTCCATGTCTACACTATCCTCCCGGAGCCCAGGATGCGGCCGGACAGACAGATAGACGGACAGGGAAGGAGCCCCCGGCCTGGGAGCTGCTCTGTCCTCGCCTCCTCTCTCCCCGGCAGGGACCCGCACGCAGTTCAGCTTCTTACCTGGGATTGCCGCTTTTCCCTCCTTCAGCGGGAGCGCCGCATTGACACTGCAGATGGTGTCTCTGCCTCTCTCTTTCTCTCTCTCTCTCTCCTCTCTCTCCCTCTGTCTCTCCCTCTGTATGTGCGTGTGTGTATGTCTCTCTGTATGCCTCTTCAATCCCAAATCCCAAACAAAAATACTCCACAGATGCAAAGGAAAGGGGTTTAAAAAGGAAAAGAAAAACCAAGAATAAGGTAAAGCCTTTGGCTCTGAATAGATCCTCTTCCACCGTCCGAGGGCGAGAAATGTCCAAAAAAAAAAGACTGATAAGCGATTCCAAGCACCCCTCTTTCGTCCAGATACCCCCCAAAGCCGGGCAGCTGTGGAGGCTCTCCTCCGCTGCAATGACGATTGGGGGCTGCCCCCAGCACCCCCACCCCACCCCCCCGGAGGGCTCGATGTCCTTGATGCCAAGCGGGCAACCGCGGCGTCACTGAGCGCCGCCCATCGCCCAAGTCCGGCGGCTCCCCAGTCCCGGGTGCCCGGGTGGCCGGGCTGGGAGAGCTTTCCCCTGGCACTGCAGCTCTCCCCAGCCAGTCGGGTCTCTTGCCTCCACCTTGGGCACCCTCCCCGCCCCCCACGCGTCCACCAGCTCCGGAGGCAGGCGTCAGCTGGCCAGGCACCACTCGTGTCCCCCCTGGAGGACTCGGGGGGCAATGCCAAGGGACTCGGGGTTCGGCAGCTGCTCCCTAGGGAGACTGGGTGCTGCTGCTGCTGCTGCTGCTACTGCCGCCGCTGCTACTGCTACTGTTACTGCTACTGCTGCTGCCGCCACTGGAGCTCCTGCTGCCGCGGCTGCTGCTGCTGCTGCTGCGGCTGCTGGGGCTGCTAGGGTTGCGGCGGCTGCGGCGGCGGCGGCGGCGGCGGCGGCGGCTGCTACTGGTGCGGGTCCTCTGGGCTGTCCCCCTGGCCCCTCGGACGAGCTGGTAGGAAAGTTTGCAGGGGGCAGCGAGCTGGGCTGCCGCTGGCTCGGCCGCCGCCGCCAGAGCTCACAGGCTGCCTGCTGCCGCCGCGGCTCGCCGCTGCTGTGCATTGAAGCCCGGCCAAGCGCTGCAAAAACTCCAGCTGCCTGGCGCTCTCCGGGTCCTCCTCTGCTCCCCCCCCTTTCTTTCCTCTCTCCCTCCCTCCCTCCCTCCCTCCCTTCCTTCTTCCCTCTCTCCCTCTCCTCCCCTCCCCGCAGCCTGCTCTCCCTTTCCCTCTCTGGAGCTCTCAGGCTCCGAGCCTGCTCCTGACATGCAGACTATGAGAGAGCTGCCGGCAGAGGGGGCCGGGGGCCGTGGGCTCCCCCAGGACTCACCACCGTTTCTCACTCGCATACACATACACGGATATATGCGGAAATAGGCTGAAGCATGTACTGACCCCCACTCCAAAACCCACCCGGAGATACAGACATGGATGGAGTCAGAGCAGGGCACGTAGAATGATGGAGGCACACAGATGCCAAAGCAAACCGAGGCACACAAGGGCTCGGAAAATGGGCCACAGACACTGGCAGTCTGAGACCCACATAAGCACATAGTCTAGAGACAGGTTGGGAGCTACTCAGACAAGCACTGGCACGCCTCTACCCATGTCCACCATACAGACAAGCTAGCACCCTCAGAGAGGCAGTGGGATGCATTGGTCTTATACTCAGCTGGATTCAGATCCAGGAGATAGGCTATTTTTTAGCTTTGTAGCTTGAGTGAAGTGACTACTGGCCTCAGTTTCCTCATCTGTTCAATGAAAGAAATGAGCTAAGTAGCTAAATGATCTCTTTCTGATTCCACATTAGCAAACCAAGGCAATGCCCCACACATACACCCTGGGTCAGACTTCCTGGTGTGTATATGTACACCTGTGTACCTTTGTGTTGGGATGGTATGAAGGAAAGCAAGACAGAAGCCCTCATCCTGTTGAGCACCTTAACTTTTCTAACAATTTATTATTGGGAGAAATGGTGGAGTGAACCAATAGTGGCTTCCTAGCTCTAGAATTTCTTTCTCCTGAAGAATTCACACACACACACACCACAGTTCCCAATACACCATGCCCCCAAGTTCAAATACCTCCATTCTCCCCTCTCCCCAATCAAACAAAAATCCTGCTATTGCTTAAAGTATGACTGACTCCTCCTAGACATATGAGTATCTTTATTGGGATCAAGACATTAACAATTAGGTAGAATTTCTGGTAACAGGGACAGCGGAAGGGGAAGAGAGCCCAGAAATAAAAAAAAAACAAAAACATAAATATCCCATATGGGTTTTGCTGGACCTGCATAAAAGGGTAAAAGGGGGTCAATGATCTGCCTATCTGCTAAATCTTTGGATGTGCTTTGTATTCAATGTGTACATACTGAATGTTGATAACTGGAAAAGAAGGAAGAAGACGAAAAGGAGATAACTGGCTTTGGGTGAAAGATAATACAGGAGTCATCATAAAAGCCCTTCCAGTCTCTAGCCCTCCTTTCAACATATCACTCCCTAGAAAGCAGTGAGGAGTTATCTTATTAGTTTACATTAATAAGCCTGGTCTGGCTCCTCTCTTCTCAGAAATCCTGTATCCCAGACCCAAGATAAAACAGACAAGACTGATATCAGGTTAGTTTCTGAAGCCCTTTGCAGCCACGCCCCCCCCACAACCATGTGACTAAATCATATAAGACTAAATAAGGCTGTGTTTCTCCTCTAAAGGCAGCAATTTGTGGCTGAGGAACCCCAAAAGTGAGGCTTCCACCAGACAATATCTCCCTAAGTATCTTTTCCCCAACAAAAACTGCAGAAACCACCACAGGCCCATTCCCAGAGGTGGCATCCCATGAAGACCATTGAAAACCCTAATGGATTACTTAAGGGATGTGGTTCAATAAAAGGGGAGGAAAAATAACCCTTAAAATGTCTGTTTGCCACTCAGCTTTCAGTGTCTGCCATAAAAATTCGGGGGGGGGGAGATGAGGAGGCAGTTCTGTATTCATTCTCAGTCACAACAGTACATATTTTTTAATAGAACATGATTGTCTTTTTCTTGCAGAAAGTGTGTGTGTATGTGTGTGTATACTCCGTGTAGATGGTGAGCCCCAGATTTAAATTTTCTGATGGATGGATGAGGATTCAAAGACTTAGATTTTTTTTTGAGGTGGTGCATAAAATGTATTTATTATCCTTTATCTCCTGCCTGGTTTTCAGTGTCATTTGTTTTCATTCAGAGAAATGAATGCCATGTGGTGCCTGAAGAGTAATAACAGAGCCAAATGACAAGGAAAGGATAAGGCAGAAGTCTGAGAGATACAATGGGCAGGTGAGTAACCCCAGTAGATTACTTCTGTTGTTAATGGTGTGGTATCAGTGAATGTCTTTTCCTGACTTCATCACAGTTAATAACAAGTATGAGAGACTTCTAGATTTGGAGTTATAAATGGGGAGGTGGTGATGTCATTATTAAGAGACAGAAAGAACTGAATTCACAGCAGGTGTGACTTGTTTTTAAATTTTTTTTTTCGCTAAATGCTTGGAATTGCTTAATGCTATTAGAGGTCATCTAATACAACTCTCTTGTTTAACAGATGAGGAAACTGAAGTCCAGTGACTTGCCTATGATTGAAAAAACAGGTTGACCATACCTGAAGATGATAAGAGAGGTATGATGTTAAAAATGGCAATGACAGTTTGTGTTGGTGATGGTGATAAATATGATCCCAGTGGATCTTTAAGAAAGGAAGATCGCCTCAGAGTAGTTAAACTCATTGTTTAGTCTGCCCCTAGTCTATGAATAAAAGCATTTATTTTTTAAAAGTCCCAATAGCATCACATGAGCAATTTAAAAAGTATTTCTTCACTGGAGGGTGAATACTTCTTCCATCCTTTCCAAGACTGGAAGAGGGACGGTCAGTGGAAAACGAAAATATTCCTTCCCCTACCGACCAAGATCAAACATCTGGTTTCATGGTCGATGGGACAGAACACCACAGGTTAATATATATTCCCTTCCACAGCAGGGAAAAGATAGAAATAAGTAGTTACACTAGCTGGCTTTGGGGTTCCCCCAAATCATTTTTCCAGGGTGATTATTTCTGTGGGATTTTATCTCCCACCTAACCATGGATTTTGGAAGTGGTTTTTAATTGCTCATTGACTGAGACATTTCTGAAGTGATTGGGTGAGGGCTAGAATCCCCAACTTTTCTTTCACTTAGTTACTAAGAAAGAAAACTGTTATTTAAGTTGATAAAAGCCAGATTCGCTTGTTCAATAAATCACTAGAGCCTGGAGGTGCTATTGCGATCCCCCTCCTGCCGCACTGCCCCTGCCCCCAAGCATGGCCCCTTTCTGGATGGGATTTTGTGCCTTAGCAGCAAAACGACCTGCAGTCAGCCTCTGAAAAACCGAAATTGTGGCGCCACCTGCAGGAGACCAAAAATATCAGCATCTCTTCAAGACACCAGCTGAAAGCGGACTACGAGGGGAGACGAGGCAGACGTCTTCCGCAGCGTGCGACTGCAGCCCCAAGCTTCGGGTCACGAGTGTGCTGAAATAAAAACGTTTCTCAATTCCCGCTTGGCCCCTGTTTTCCTAGTTGTATCCGTAGCTTCCCCCAGGCAGCATTTATCCTACCATGACACACTCCAGCATCCTTCAACCTACATCCTCCTTTGAAACGAGCTAATTCAATTTTCCATCCACTCTATGCTAGCAAGATGCCGTGGTCTTAATAATTCAGCCAACTAAAGGGAGCCTGTCCTTCCTCTATTTATTTAAGAGTTAAATCAATCTCCAGCCCAACTGTGTTTGTTTCAAGATTCTGAGAACGGGACAAACATGAAAGAGGGAAGAGCAGAAAGGAAGGGAGAAAGGAGACGGAACCGAGCTTTGTTCCTGAACACTGTCTGAAAAATAAAGCCCCGTTTATCGTACTGATATTACCAAAATGTATAAGGCTCAGCTACGACCATTCTCAGGTGTTGCATCACAGAGGGAAATTGGACATCTGGTGGAAAGTGACGGAGAAAGGCTAGTGTGAATCGATGCACAGAGGAAGCAAAAAAAAAAAACAGAACCAAGAAATCAGTAATACACAATGACCACAGGTATGCAAATGAAAACAACGCTAAAGGACACAAAAAATTTCAGATTAAATGCCTCAGGCAGTCTTGGTTCCAGAAGACTTCTACCAAAACATGCTTCCTTCTGCTCAGTACAGAGTACAGGTAGAGCGTGCTATTTACAACATCACTGTCAATCCAACATTTTAAGGTAA